CGAGCTCTCGTCGCGCCTGTTCTTGAGTTCGGAGAGGGCCTGATTGTTGCGCTCGATCAGCTTGCGGATCTCCTCCAGCTTTGCCTGCGTCTGGGTGACCTTCTTCGCTTCATCCTCGCGCATCGCTATAGAGGCCCCACGCGCCAACCACAAATCAAATGAGAAGAGCGCAACGAAAAACAGAGCAAAGCTTGGCTCTTGCTCACCTCCGATCTGATTGATCTCGTCTTGAAGGGCCTCGATCTGCTGCTTCTGCACCTCGATGGTGCGGTCGACCAGCTTGATCTCCTTCTTGATCCAGGCGTCACGCTCCTTCTTGTTGGTGAAGCGGGAGCTGCGGCCCTGCTTGGAGTACAGATCGTTGACCCGTCGCTCGCAGTCGATGATTCGCTCGTTGACGTCACGCTCCGCCTCCACGGCCGCCATGTAGCGGGGCGTGAGATCGTCCAGCTTCTTGGTGGTGGTTCGAATCTCCTTGCGCAGCCGCTCAGCCTCCTTGGCCAGACGCTAGTGTGAAGAGATCGACAGGTCAGTAACCAGCATACCTATGCACAGAAACACACACACACACACACACACAATGTACGTGTGTATCGGAGACTTGGTACCTCCTGGTTCTCTTGATCGGTGCCGGCGCGGGACTCGGCCTCTTCGAGTTCGAGTTCGAGCTTGGCCTTCTGCTTGAGGAGCTCCTTGCGCTCCTCCTCGATCACGCTCTTCTCCTTGTTCAGGCGTCGCATCTCGATCTCGGCGTCCTTCAGCTCCCGCTCCTTGGCCTTGAGCGCCTTGTGCACGAGCAACGCGTTTTGGTATTCCTCCTTGGCGCGCGACGACTCCTCCTGTCGGTCTGTGTCGAGCTACGCGAGAGATAGAAAGAAGAAGAAGAAAGTGTGAGTCGGCGACGTTGCAGTGATCGGTGGGTCAATGGCAAGTAAGTACCCTTCTGAGGGTTTCGTTGGTGCTCTGGAGTTCCTTGGTGTAAAGAGTGTACTCGAGTGCCCTGCGCTCGCGGTCGAGCTCCTGGT